CTCCAACATAGACCTGGCCACTGCTGTGCAGGGCTGTGATTTCCAGAGCCACGGCCGTAGCCTCAGAAGGATGGATTTGAACAGAGAGACAAGAATTCAGGGATAGCAGACTCCTTCCCCTGCCTCAGGGCTCGACCCCTGGTGTTGCCTCCTTCTGAGGATGGCTGGGCTTTGTACGTACATGGCAGCTTGGTAGGTCGCTCTGGAATATTGAAACTAGCATATGCCACTGATTAATATGCCAATTTTGATGGTGATATTTGAAATGGAGATGCCAGCACAGTGGCTCAGTGCCATCATCTAAAAGCAGAAAATAGCAACTTCCGCTCAATGCGTGTGCCAGCTAGGGAGGATTAATTATTTGCACATGGAGAAGTGGTGGGGCAGCATAGCTTGGCAGGGTTTCCAGGACGTGTGTCATCTGCTTCCAGCCTGGCTCATCTCAGCTGATAAGAATTTTAAGGGATTTAAAATGCAGCTAGTAGTTGGTGCACAGGAGTCTGGAGCAAGTTTTCCAAGTGTGATTTTTACCTTTCTGGTTTAGTAGCACTGCTGATTTTCATTGCGTTTCTTTAATGATAATACTAGCTTTCAAATTTTGGAATAAGGGGTTGGAGAGATGGCTCAGTGGTTAAGAGCACTGGCAGCTCTTCCAGAGAACCTGGGTTCAGTTCCCACCACGCGGTGGCTAACAACCATTTGTAAGTCCAGTTCCAGGGGAATTCGACACCCTCTTCTGACCTCTGAGGGCATTGCACAACACGGGTGCACGTACACAGACGTAGGCAATGCACTCATACATAAAATTAAAAAAATATTTAAAAAATTTGGGGGGACTGGACAGATGTCTCAGCAGTTGAGAACACTTGTTCTTGCAGAAGACCCGGGTTCGAATCCCAGCACCCATGTGGCAGCTCACAACTGTCCGTAACTCCAGTTCTAGGGGAACTCACAGTCTCTTTTGTCCTCAGGCATTGCATGACACGGGTGCACTTACCTACATACAGGCACAACATGCATACACATAAAATAAAAATAATAAATAAAATATTAAAAAAATTTTGGAATAAGCTTAAGAATACCAATCAAGTGTTCAGTCAGTGGCTTAGCACAAAGTGAACACCACCCACAGAGTGGGTGAGAGGTCGTCAGCACCTGGGATCCCCTCACCCCAGGGCAGCTGCTCGCCTGGATGCCACTCCGGGGTTGTCTTTTGCTGTCTCTGTGTCTCTGTATCTCTGTCTCCTGGGCTCTGCAGCTGAGGCAGCTCACTTCCTGTCTGCCGTCAGAAAGGTCTGAGGTTTTAAAGAATAGTGCACTGTGAAGGGTCTGTTGTCTGCCACTCTAGGGCTCACTGACGTCTCCTTCCGTTATCCATGGATCATGGGATTCACAGGTTCTAGTGTCCTAGGGATCTGGCAAGGGGATCTTCAACTCTGCTGTTCCTTAGAAGCTCTGGCCAAGGTGCTACCAGGTTTCCACACTCCTGACCTTAGTCTCTCCTGAGCATGGTGGGTCATGTGCTCTGTAGATCAGCAGCAAAGTCAGGGCTGTTGGGGCAGCTCCTTCCGAGACCTGGGCCCTTGACTCCCACACCCTGGCAAACCTTTCTGGCCCTGTGGTCGGTGATATCCGCATTGTGGGAGGTGTTTGCTTGAGAATCTCGTACAGTGGTCCTTGAGTGGCATTAGCTATGGAAGAAGGCTTCAGGGAAAGCTAGGCCATGGGGGCGGTGCTCTGTTTCTGGGGAGGGTCATCCGCAGAATGGGGAATATGTATCTGGAGAGTTGGGGAGGCAAGGACGGCCCTTTAGGCAGGCAGACCACTACAGAGAGATGGGGTGCCTGGCAGAGGCAGCCTTTGAAGACCTGGGAAGACACATGGTAGCACATAGGAGCAGGGACAGTCCCTGTGGGGATGCTGACCTGGGCCATAGGTGGCAGGGCTCAGTGGGGCCAGTTCACAGTCCTAGTGGGTCACATTGTCCTTGTGGCTTGCCTCTGGGAGGATCCCTATGTGTCTGAATCCCTGTCCCATCAAGTTACAGTATCTGAACAGAATGCTGACTCCTTGAGTAGTCTGAAGGACAGTTCAACCCCCAATACACTCAAATCCTTCTTGACCCCCCTGCCTGTCACAGTGTGACTTCAAAAACTGAGGGCATGTCTGGCTCTAGATCAGAAGGACAGGTCATAGTTGTAATCCACAAACATCACTGACTTCTTGTGGGGTTGGTGGCGGAATGTCTGCACGAGGCCGTTGCTGTGTGGACGGGGCTCAGGTTGTCCCCCTGGTTCTCAGGCTCCTTCTCCAGGGTGCCCGATATCTAGGTTGCCTTCTCGCATACCCTGGGGTACAGGAGGGTCTCCCTGGCTTTTTCCCCATGCTGGACCCTGGGCCCTGGGGAAAAAGGGGCCTTTTCTCAGTGCTAGGTGATTCCTTGAGCAGATGAAATGGCCAACCCCATAGAGAGATGCCATGGCCACTGCAAAGCCATGTGGCAGGCCATTGTCTGGGTCCACCTGGATGGTAACAGAAAGTGACTGCTTGGAGAAGGCAGTGGACAAGGTTGGGAGGCCTGGCAGGGCCCCAGATGAGGTCAGATGAGGGTCAGGCTGTGGGCTGAAGAATTACCCTGTGTCTAGTGTCCACCATCTCTGTGGCTGAGGCGTTCAGAGGGACCCAGAGAGAGTATGACTCATCCGTAGTGAGTCAGAGTTCCCTGTGTGAGTCACGACTGTTGTGTGGGGAGGGGAGGCAGGAGGCAGAAACAACAGAGAAAGCTCTGGAAGTCACAGGGGCATGCCTGTCAGGGGCTCTCATAATGTCCAGACCGTGCAGACACAACCCTCTCCTTCCCTTTCACTTAGAAAGGACCTCGTGTGTGTGTGTGTGGTGTGTGTGTGTGTGTATGTGTGTGTGTGTGTGTGTGTGTGTAGGTGTGCATGTGGGTGTGGGTGCACGTGTGGAGGTGTGCATGTGGGTGTGGGTGCACGTGTGGAGGTGTGGGTGTGGAGGTGTGCATGTTGTTTTCAGGCACCATCTACGTTGGGTTTTTGTTATCTGTTTCTTTAAAATTATTTTATTTGGGGCTGGAGAGATGGCTCAGTGGTTAAGAGCACTGACTGTTCTTACAGAGGACCCGAGTTCCATTCCCAACACCCACATGGCAGCTAACAACCATTCATAACTCCAGTTCTGGGGCAATCCAAAGCCCTCTTCTGACTTCCGTGGGCATCGCATGACATGGGTGCACTTACACACATGCAGGCAATACACTCATACACATAAAATAAAAATAGTAAATAGTTTTTAAAATTATTTTGCACTTGGGAGGCAGAGGCAGGTGAATCTCTGTGAGTTCAAGGCCAGCCTGGTCTACATAGTGATTTCCAGGCCAGGCCAGCTGGGGCTACAGTGAGACCCTGTCTCAAAAAGACAAAAAAAATTTATTTTATTTTTGAAATCTGTGTTGCCTTTTTTTTTTTTTCAGTTGTTTTTGAGACAGGGTCTCACTACATAGCTCTGCTGGCCTGGAACTCACTGTAGATGAGGCTGGTTTGGAACTCACAGAAATCCACCTGCCTTGTGGTGTTTTGTTTTTTGAAAGATTTTGTTTTATGTGCGTGACTGTTTACCTGCACCTATGTAGGTACCACAGGTGTGCAATACCCTCAGAGGTCAGAAGAGGGTGTCAGATCCCCTAGAGCTGGAGTTACAGAGAGTTGTGAGCCACTGTGTGGGTTCTGGGTCCTACAAGAGCAGCCAGTGCTCTTAACTGATGAGCCGTCTCTCCAGCCCTTATTATATGTATTTACTGGGGGGTGGGACATGCTCATGTGCCATGACTCGGAGGTCAGAGGACAACTTGTGATAGTTCTCTCCTTCTACAGAATGTGTCGTAAGGACTGAATGCAGGTTGTCAGGCTTGGTGGCAAGCGCCTTTGCCCACTAAGCTCTTCTGCCACCACTTGTTTTGTTTTGCTTTGCTTTTTCAAAAGTTTGTGTGTTTGTGTCTGTGTGAGTGTATGTATGCCCACATCTGTGTGCAGGCGCACTTGCCTGGGCATGATAGGAGCCAGAGGTATCAGATGTCCTCTGTCACGCCTCACCTCTCCCTTTGAGGCAGGGTCTCTGAACCCAGGGCTTCCATTTTCTCATCTGAGCTGGAAACTAGGAAGCCCCAGAGGTCCTCCTGTCTCCAGCTTGGAGCTGAGGTTACAGGTGTACACAGGACGCCTGGCTAATACACTGGGATGCAAGCTCTGGTCCTCATGATTGTGCAGGCAGTGCTCTTAACCACTGGCCAGAGAGCCCTAGGATTCCATCCACTCCTCAGCTCTGGGAGGACAGAGCGTGCTCCCACACCATGCATTCTTATGGGGGTGTTGGTGATGGAACCCAGGTCCTTGTGCATGGCTTTGCAGACTGAGCCACCCTCCCCAGCCCAGGGCTTTTAAACTTCTTGGTGCTTTAGGTTGACTCAGCGACCCACAGCTTTCATGTGGTTCAGTGAGCTGCCTTGTTCACTGAGAACGAGCAGCCGGCCACACAGAGCCTCCGCCTCTGCTCGACCTGCCTCCGGTCCGATTGTCCTGGCTAGGGGATCTGGGTGCCACTCAGAGTGGCAAGCTGTTCAGTGTATGTGGTTGTTCACCTTGGGCCCTGGAGTGGGGCAGCCTCCCAGCTGACACGGGAGGGGAAAGAGCTCTGGACTGAGCGCCTGCAAGCAGGGCGGGAGTTTCCGTACTGGCCCTCTGGGCTGGTTTCCTGAGGAACAAGGAGAACCCGTGCACAGGGTCCTGTGGCCCATGAAGTACAAATATCCAACTGGCTTGACCTCCCGCCCCACCCTGGTGACCCTCCAGCCTGTGCCTTGGGCTCCACACTGCTGGGTCTGTCTTGCTCCCCTCAAGTCAAGGTTTGAGCTGTGCTGAGGCCCTTACTCCGGGTTTCTAGGGTCGCAGGCCTACCCTGTGACACTTCTGTTTGTCCTGCAGGTTTTGGGATTTGAGATCGATGCAGTGAACTCTGTCCAGTTTTCAAACCACACAGGTAAGGCCTTTGAGTGGCTGTCATGGCAGAACTGGGTATGGTAAGGACCTGGTCCTGTTGGAGTAAGTATACCTCCTATGGCTGGGGAATGGAGCCAGAAGTGTCACTCTGTGCAGGGCCTGCCCTACCCCACATCAGATTTGGATCTCAGTCAGCTGATCTGGAGCTGTATGACCCAGGACAGGTGGGCAAGCCTCTCTGTGCCTCAGCTTCCTCCTCTGTAAAACTGGCATTCGCAGCACCTACTGTGGGGGAACTAAACAGGTGGATTGCACCAACTGCTGCCGTGTCATCCTGCCGTCAAGTCGGCCGGTAACTTGCATGTTTGTACCCTCATCCACCAAGGTGGTGCCTCTGGCATGAGGACTTTACTGTTTAGTGCTGAGGGGCACTGCTTGAATTGTTTGGGGCAAGCATGTGATTCCCACAGCACTGACCTGTGGCATCAGGAGCATGCTGTGTGCGGAGCCCTCTCTATTCTCCCTGGTATAAAACAAAGCTACTCAGTTCTTTGAAGTGCCTCTCAGCCAGAGCCTGTCCTGATATTGTTCTAAACACAAAGCGGGCTCCAGGAGCACCAGTGTCCCAGAGCAGCCCAGCCCACCACCGGTAGGATGTACAAGCTCAGAAGGTCTCCCATGGTTCTTGCTGTGAGCCTTCTTGGACAGGGTGTGTCGGGTTTTAATCGGAAGGTTTAAAGTGACAGGTTAAAAAGTAACTGCCACCTGCCTTGGTGGCCACTTAGGACCAGTACTCACTCTGTCATTTAAGATCAGAAAGCCCAAGGGACCACGACCACAGTGGACCCTGCTGGCTTCTTACTGCTGCTTTGACTACCCTCTTACACATGTTTAAACAAGCCAGACTGACTTGGATGTTAAGCAGTGGGAGTGAATCTAGCTCTGAGAACCACCTGGTAGAGGGTCAGCATCATTCAGTATACACAGGCTCTGGCTCTAAAAGTCAGAGCTCCACACAGCGCTCTGGACTCACTGAAGCGTGTGTATGTTAGAGGGTTGTACGTGTCTGGAAGGCCAGATGGGAGGACGTTTTCATCGGTGAAATTCAGGGTGTCACTGGACGGCCCTTCCTGGCACAAATGAGTACCTCTTCTCAGATGTGGGCCTGTGCCAATGTGGTCTGTATCTTAGGAGGGCCCCAGAGGTCTGCGGTCCTGGATACTTACCAGACAGAGGGCAGGCTAGACCCTGGCCCAGGCATTTTTTATTCACGTTTGTCTCTTGTTAGGATTTGGACCTTGACTTGGTTTGGCCGCAGTTTAATTAGTTTGTGGGGAGAAAGAGTGGATGAGGACAGAATGAGCCTTTAACTGCCAGGGTGCTCAGGTGACGGTGACCAGTGGCTTGGCTCTGTGGCTGAAAACATGCATAGGGACTGGGAAACCAGACTGTGATTGGGGGTGAGTGTCATAGAATGCCCTGAGCTGCTCCTGTTGAATATAGAAGCTGAAAAGCCATGTGCCCAGTGTATCCCGTCCACTTCCCTTTCAGGTTCCACAACTGTCTGCAGGCTGCATGGGGCCCTGGGTGCCTGCCACGCTGGATTCATTCTGTGGGAACTAGCCATGGGAGACCCCCTGTTCAGCTCCCACAATGTAGGGGCAGGGGTGCTTTAGGGTATTGGAGCCTTACTGAGGCCTCCTCAAGGAGGGTGGCTGGTGGTCATTAGCAGAGATGGCCACCAGGAAAGCCTGTGGCTTGCATACCCATGGCCCGGCCTTCTCCCTGCAGGCTACGCCCACTGGAAGGGCCAAGTGCTGAATTCACAGGAGCTCCATGAACTGTACGAAGGTCTCAAGCTGAACAGTGTGAATAAGTATGACTACGTGCTCACGGGTGAGGGTCCCTGGGTCCTGGTGGAGGGTCCCTAGCCTGGTGGTGACAGGACAGGCCCATCCCCTCTCCCTAGGGAGACTCCCTGGTCCCTGCTTCCTTCAGGGAGGGCCTCCATGTGCCCTTGGCACCAATACACCTTGAGGGGCCTTGCGAGGTGCCTGGTCATCCTATAAAGGTAGGGCCTTATGGGGGGTACCTGGCCACCCTGGGAGGTGCCTGAGCTATCTGGGAAGGGAGGGGAGGGAGTTAGAAAGCTGCCGGTTGGGATAGATTGAGGGTGAAATGCTGCCACCTGGTATGTGAGTTCATTTGTCAAGATCCTGGTTAAAGAAGCCATGTTTGGATGACTTACCAGTTAAGAGCACTGGCTATTCTTGCAGAGGACCTGGGTTCAGTTCCCAGAACCCACATGGCAGCTTATAACTCCAGGTCTAGGGGATCTGACTCCCGTTTCTGACTTCTGCCGACATTGCATGACATGGATGCACTTACACACATGCAGGCAAAACACTCATACACATAAAGTAAAAATGATAAGACACAGCCTTTAATCCCAGGACTCCAAGGCAGAGGCAGGCGGATCTCTGTGAGTTCCAGGCCAGCCTGGTCTACATAGTGAGTTCAGGCCAGCTGAGGCTACAGGGAGACCCTGTCTCAAAAAGACAAAGGAAAAAAGAAGCCATGTTTTTTTGTGTGTGAGAAAGGAACTCATGTGGCCCAGGCTGAGCTCATACTCACAGAGATCTGCCTGCCTCTGCCTCCCCAGGTGCTGGAATTAAAGGTGTGCACCCAGTGGAAACCAAACTTTAACAGACATATTTACATCTACTTACTCACTGTGTGTACGAGCGTGTGCACACACCCCCCACACACACAGGTGCTGCAGCATGAGGGCGGGGGTCAGACACCTTGCAGGGAGCCAGTTCGCTCATTCCAACGAGTGGGTCCCAGGAACTGAGCTCAGGTCGTCAGGCTTGGCAGCATGCACGTTTGTTCACTGAACCGTCATACCTAGGTTTCCAAATTGGTTTTTATATCTGGAAAGTGACACGTGTTTTATTGAAAACAAAATAAACGGGAAAATGGCACCTGTGGTCCCCTCATTTAAAATTCCCCATGTCCTGGGAGCTGCCTCGTCTCATCCCTGTGACTATGGGCTACTGGGGACTTTGTGCCTTTCCTGGCTGCAGGCTCTGGCCTGCTTCCACTGTGCTCTGCATGTTGAGTGATTTAGATGGCGCTTATCACTGCCAAGGCCCCGGTGGTCAGTGTGCCTGTTTTGAGAGGATAACCTGGATTTTCCCACCCACAGGCTACACGAGAGACAAGTCCTTCCTGGCTATGGTGGTGGACATCGTGCAGGAGCTGAAGCAGCAGAATTCCCGGCTCGTGTATGGTGAGTGATGGGCCGTGCTGCTCTGCCCACTGTACGCTCTACACGACAGAAAGGGCTGGTTAAGCATGTATAAAGGCCTGGGGTCCCCAAGATATTTGTGGCCACACCCTAAAGAGGATGTGGGCCAAACCCAACTAGTGAGGGAGCATTGGTATGGGGAGCACTTCGTGCCAGACTTGCAAACCCTGGTCCTGTCTTGCGTACTGGTTTCCCAGATGTGCAGAGTGGGCCCTGCCCTCACTGGCCAGTGGCACATTGCTTTCTTCATGCATCAGATTGACGCCCAAGGGATGTGCTAGAACCTGGGAAGGTACTGTGTAACCTGGGTTTGGCATGCTTACAGTCAGGCCAGAGTGGGGCTGCTGTGCCACGAACAGTGGCCGAGGTAACGTGTTCTTGATACAGAGATGTGAGTGCTGGTACTACTCAGATGACCTAGTAGTCTTGGACAGAGAAATGCAAGGAACCAGGGAACTAGATGGTTGTTGTGCCTCTATGTATATAACGTTAAAAAAGTATTGAAAGATTAAGTATATGGCTCAGTTGGTAGAGTGCTTGCCTAGCATTCATGAAGGCCTAGGTTTGAGTCCCATCACCACATAACTTAGACATGATGCCGCATGCCTTTAATCCTAGCCCTTGGGATGGGGAGGCAAGAGGATCAGATGTTGAGGGTTATCTTCAACTACATGGGAAGTTCAAGGCCAGCTTTGACAACATAAAATCCTATCTCAAATAACAACAAAACAAGAGATGGAGAGGTAACTCAACAGTTAAGTTTAAAACATCAGGTTTTGGTGCGGGTGTGAGAATGTAAAACAGGAAAGCAGTCAGAGAAGAAGGTAGACATGGAGCCTGGTGCGGTGCTGCACGCCTGCAATCTCAGCTCCCTGGGAGGCTAAGGCAGGAATACTGTGAGCTCAGACCTAGCCTGGGCTACATGGTGAGAACTTGTCTCACAAAACAAAACAAAACGTGAAGCAGTTTGAGTCTGCCGCAAGTAGCTGCAGCAGTTGCTGACCGGACGCTGTGTGTCCCTACAGTGTGTGATCCTGTGATGGGTGACAAGTGGGACGGCGAAGGCTCCATGGTGAGTGTGCTCGTTCAGTTGTAAATGTGCATGGTGAGTGTGCTCGTTCAGTTGTACCAGAAAAGAGTTTACCCACCTCTCCGGGTGAATGGTGGCCTCATATGGGGTAGACACTCCTGCTAGGAAGTCACTGGACTTGGTTGAATAGAGTATAAGTGGTCAGGCTGTGTAACATCCATCCCCCCATGCCAGAGCTATCTGTGTGGCCCGTAGCAGACACAGACGTGTCAACAGTGAGCACAGCTGTCTTCTGGTAAACCTGCAGGTATGGACACTGAAGTTGAATGTCCTGTGATTTGTTTAATGTCACAAGTGTTTTTTTCTTGATCCTTGTTGCTTCTAGCAGAGGAACACAGCTACCTATACCTGACTGAAGAATGGTCCTCCTGGATCAGAAAGGTTGTCCTCTCTCTGTAGGTTTGGGAGGGAGGCATAGGGGGCAGTGAGCGAGAAAAGGGACACCCACCTTGCCAGCCAGGTCAGCCGATCAACTGTGACGATCAGTGTGGCAATAGTTGCCACGGTCAAATCACCGTCATATCCGAATGTTTTTTCTTCTGATATTTTCCCCTAAATACGTAACAAGGCAGAAGTTGCTCTTAGCTCACATGCTGTTCAAAATCAGGTAGCAGGTTTAGGATCAGGTGGGTCAGATAGGACTCCCTGCGTGAAGCCACCAGAGAAGCCTCAGACGGAAGGCTGGAGCTGAGGTCGGCCTGCCTGTGGGTTTCAAAGTCAGCCTTTTAACACCACACTGCCTCGGTGTTCACCCTCTTTGTTGACTTCTGACTTGTGCAGTTCCTCACTGTGACTTCCCAAGCGAGGTGGGCCAGGCGCAGTCTACACTAGCACACTACTCACTTGAGCCAGTCTCCTCTCTGCCAGTGTGAGGGCAGGGGCAGTTACCTGGGCCAGGAGGTGGGTTCGCTTGGTGGCTGCCTCATCATCTTTCTCCAATGCCTGTTTTCTAGAAGGTTCTCTACACCAGGCTCCCATCCCTCTCTTCTCCCTGATGCTCCACACTGCAGCCATCCATGGAGATGCTCATGTTTGAGCCTTAAAAAGAGTTCAGAGTCGGGGGTGGTGGTGCACACCTTTGATCCCAGCACTCGGGAGGCAGAGGCAGGTAGATCTGAGTTCCAGGCCAGCCTGGTCTACATAGTGAGTTCCAGGCCAGCTGGGACTACAGGGGGACCCTGTCTCAAAAAGACCAAAAGAAAAAATAAATATGGCAGCAGATCTGCCCTGGTTTTGATCGGATGGCTTTTTCCTAAAGTAACGTGATAGTTCAGACGAGCAGAAAGCCTGTACACCAGGTGACCAGCTTCTTTCTGCTTTTGATAACAGTGTCAAATCCAGAACCTCTCACGTTAGGCAAATGCTCGACCACAGAGATAGGCCCCTGCCCTTGAACTCAGTTGTTTAAGAGCCGTTCTTTGGGGCTGGAGAGATGGCTCAGCAGTTCAGAGAACTGACTGCTCTTGCAGAAGACCTGGGTTCAGTTCCCAGCACCCACATGGCAGCTAACAACTGTCTATAACTCCAGTTCCAGGGGATCCTGCAGGCATTGCATGGCACAAGTGCACCTACTTACATTCAAGGAATACACATATGCACATATACACATACACATATACACATATACGCATACACACATATACATACACATATACACATACATATGCACATACGCACATACACATATACACATACGCATACACACATATACATATGCACATATACACATATGCATATGCACATATACACATACACACATATGCACATACACATATGCACATCACACATATACATATGCACATATACACATGCATATGCACATATACACATACACACATATGCACATACACATATGCACATACACATATGCACATATACACATACACACATACACACATACACATACGCACATACACATATACACATACACACATATGCACATACACATATGCACATACACATATACACATACGGAGATACACATATGCACATATACACATACACACATACACATACACACATACACACATACACATACGCACATACACATATACACATACACATACACACATACACACACACATGCACATTAATAATAATAACAACACTAAGCCCTTCTTTGATGATCAGACCTGAGTCTAGGGGCTGTGCTGTGCTGCTGGCCCCATCTATCTCTAGCTCCTCCAGCTTGTACCAGCCAATAGCATCCATCTGTGTAGAGCCAGGCAAGTTCCTCAGCAACTTGAAAGGGAGGGATTGGTGTCCTGGGCCCCTCACCAGTGTTGGGAAACACACCTCAAAGCAAGTAGAATTATTTCAGATTCTCATGTGGGACTCTGGCTTTGGAATCCAGGCATGGGCTACAGAGTGAGGATACACTCCCCCCCCACCTCCATCTCAGGAAGAAACAGAAAGAATAAACTGTTCTGTTGAATGGCTTGTTGGATAACTTAAGACAAAACGACCTGATCATGAGTATGAGGACTCACAGCCATGACTTAGGTAGAGAAGCCAGAGCAGGGTGGGTCCTGGGTCCTTAGGACCAAGGCCATCTCTGCTTATCTAGGGTGTCCTGTTTCTTCACCCTCGGCTTCCCTCCCTCCCTGCTTGGGGCTCTGGCTCATCTGGTGAGCTGAGGCCTTCCCCTCTTTCCATACCAGACCCTTGCCTTGGCGAGACCATCTTCTGTCCCTCTATGACCCCCACTTGGGGCCCTTTGGGTTCATGGTGGAATGCCAGGTATCCCTGTGGGACCTGAACTTTGGGAACGCGTCTCTACCAGGCTCTTGCTTGTGAGTGAACCTTCCTCCTCTCTCCTGTGCTGTCTCCAGTATGTTCCCCAGGACCTGCTGCCTGTGTACAGGGAGAAAGTGGTGCCTGTTGCCGACATCATTACCCCCAACCAGTTTGAGGCTGAGTAAGTAACTACGAAGACAGAGGACCACACGCCCCGGGAGCGTGCAGATAGCTGCACTCATCCCCACAGCTGCCGACTCAGGCCCTTGGGTGCCCCTCAGCCTGGCCTGTATACCCTGGAGCCCAGCCTGTGTCAGGGTCCAGCCCTGCCTCTAGGGGGCAGCAGTGGCCAGTGGTAGTTCTCGCCAGGTTCCTTCATGGTCCACAGGATTTCCCTTCAGGCAAGACCTCCAAGGAGAGAAAGGGCAGGAGGCGGCCTGCCTAATTGAGGACACACCTATGTGGAAATGTCCCCAGATGGAGACACAGTGACACACACAGGCAAACAGACAGGCCATAGATCTCTCTGCAGTCAGCATGTAGCTCCTGTTGTGGTTTTGGACCTCTGATTAATAAAAGAGCCAGATGCCAAGGAGCCTGCTGGTTACCCAGAGCTGCAGGGTGTAAGGCTGCTCTGTCCTCTTAGCAAGGGCCTCCGGGCCTTGGATGTGCCCACTGGTGAGTTCCTTTGGACTCAAAAACTGGGGTTCCTTGCACTGGGCCCGCCCAATCTGAGGGCGGACATGTGTTCCTTGAGGGCCCTACACTGTTAGCAGGTCAGGGGACAGGATGTGTTGGTCTTTGCAGCCTTCAGATTTCTGTGGAGACTGGTTATCTGACTGGTGCTGTGGCAGGGTCACTGGGGGTTGTGGCTGGCTGTTGTCACACACAAATATTCACCACAGATTGGAACCTTATGGTGTATGAGTTCCCTTTCACACACGTCACTTTTGACCTTCCCCACCCCCACCCCACATGTCACTGTGGTCCCTGGTCCTTAATGGCCAGTGGACTGACTCTGTGACAGCCCCCTTTGGACTGCAGGACCAGTGCCAGGGTGGCTGTAAGGGACTGGCTCACCCCTCCTGTCTCTGTCCTAGGTTGTTGAGTGGCAGAAAGATCCACAGCCAGGAAGAAGCGCTCGAGGTAAGATGGTCCTGGACACCTTACAGGGGAGGGACAGACACCCATCCTCAGAATAGGTGGGTACTGGGACTCTGACCTCAGCACCTGGCCTTTGTCACCGATTGGCACCTTTTTTGTCAGCTGTTCTGGCTGCTCAGTCAGCCACGTGTCCATGTCTGTCCTGCATGTAACTGCGGTCACTATGTGTGGCCTGGGGTTCCCAAACCAAAGGGCCGCAGACTTTTGTTCTCTTACAGTTGGGGTCTGAAAGTCTCAAATCCAGGAGCAGGCAGGGTATACTCCCTCTAGGGACCCAGGGAAGGTCCTTCCTGCCACCTCCAGCCTTTGCTGCTGCAGGTGTGTGGTGCTGGCTCATGCCTTCTCCTGCCTCTCCATATACCCATGCTCCCCCTGTGACCATCCTTCATAGGACAACAGTCATGTCCTCCTTATAAGTCACTGGGGATGCATCCTACTTGACTGTGGCCTCAGATGATTTCCAAGTAATCTGAGGAGTCACCACATGTAATAAGTACTTACTGTGTGCCAGGACTGTGTGAGCTCCAGGTGCGATCTCATGGACCGAGTCCCACAGCCTGCAGTGTGCCCCCCATATTGTCATCATGTCCCAGGATCTCCCTGGTGACCTGTCCATGCCATTCCTGCCCAGAGACAAGCAACAGGCAGGAATGAGCTTTCCAGAAGCTGGTGGTGGCAGCTGCTGTTTGTATCCCCGGGATTGGTGGTTGTCTTACATGCCCTGTTCAGTGGTCCTATACACCAGTGCTACTGTCCTAGTCTATCCACTGGCTTGAGAGACCAGTAGGTGTGTGTGGTATATACCTCTGTGTACATTGTGCCTCTGTGAGTCCAAGATGGCTGGGTTCACTGGTGCTTAGCCTACAGCATAGGGCCCACATGTGGTCCCCTCAGGCACTGCTCTGAGAATCTGGTGTAGGCAGCAGCACCCCCTGGTTAGGAAAAGCAGCTTGGAGAGGGGCTCATTCACTGCTGTGGATGTGACCGGCTGGCCAGTTACCTGCCCAGTTCCTAAAGGGTAGGGGATGCACCCAGCTGACCCTCCCCTCCTCCGGCTTCCTCATGCCTCCAGATTCAGCGACCCAGCAGAAGGTGGCAAGCCAGGACTTCGCCGTGGACATGTGCTGGTTCACTTTTCAGTAGCTCTTGTTATGGTCTCTGGAAGCTTATCCAGTGTACTGACCGTGCCTGGCTGCTTGAGCTCTGACTACAGGGAGCACGGTGGCCAACCAGGGCTGTTCCTCCAGGGACCACTGTCAGGATGGGCCATGGGAGCTAATATGTGCCGACGCTTTCTCCCTGTGCTGCCCACAGGTGATGGACATGTTGCACTGCATGGGTCCCGACACGGTGGTCATCACCAGCTCTGACCTGCCCTCCCCACAGGGCAGCGACTACCTGATTGCACTGGGCAGCCAGAGGATGAGTAAGCACCTATTCCTCATGCACCCTGGGCCCCTCTGTGCAGTGCATGACTTTTAGAATGTTTGGGGCTCAACAGAAGAGAAATTATGACTTACTCAATTAGTACCTGGTTCCCCAAGTACCTCATGCTGCTCAGGAGGTTAGACGAAAGGAGGTTCAGGTCAGGCCTCTGGACCTGGGTCAGGTGGGATGGGGCGTTGGGGATACCAGCGAGCAAGCTCACCAGCACCCATCACTGAGTGCTCAGACATCCACACTACACTGGCAACACGGGTGATGTCCCCTTTTGTAGGTTTTAAGGTTCAGTGAGCTGTCCTGGACCGAACATCCTGTACAGTGGCCAGCTGGATCTGGCTTCTGTGGCCCAGGTGTCCGTAGGGAGCAGGTTTGTGCTGGGCTGTGGTGTTGGTTTATATGACACCACCTGGGTTAATTTTGTTTCAACAGTATTACAGTAGCTCAGAAAGCTGGGTCACATGCTGTTGGTGACTGAATTCATACCCACCAGCTCCAGTGAGCATTTCTGATACACAAGGGTGTGGACATGTGTGTACACAAGAGGTGGCAGCGGAGGGCAGGGTATGACTGCACTGAACCCCGGGCTCCTGAGGGATGCCAGGCTATGCCCTGTGTGACCACCCCAAGGACAGACAGTGCTGATGCTCCTGTCACTTCAAAAGTGAGGAACAGTTGGGCTGACCGGTTCCCACTTGTCTGGCTGAGAAGTCTCAGGTCTAGTAACCTGACTTGTCTACTTCTCCCAGAGAGGCCTGATGGCTCCACGGTGACCCAACGCATCCGGATGGACATGCGCAAGGTAGACGCGGTCTTCGTGGGCACTGGAGACCTCTTTGCTGCCATGCTCTTGGCGTGGACACACAAACACCCAGACAATCTCAAGGTCAGCTGCACACACTGTTGCCCTCCACAGCCGCCCCTGAGCACCTGTGGAGAGCTGGTTACTATGGTCCAAAGAGCGAGAGGAAGGGCAGGTTTAGCAGGGGCCTGGGCCTGAGCACCAGCCAGAGAGAGGTTGGAAGTGTGCGGCCAGCTGCAGGCTCAGGAACCCACCCTGTCAGTCTTTTCCTGCCAGTCTCTTCCCTTTGGAAAGTAAGGGTATCGCAGCTTCCGGTGGACAGATCAGTCCAGGTTGTTTCTGGCTGTGTAGTCGTTGCCTGACGTGACGGACCTAGCCCTGGGGACCAAGACCAGGAGGCCGTGGATGGCAAGCTCAGGGAGGCTCTTTGCTGTCAGACCCGGTGTGGAGATGGTTCTTTCTATGGGTTGTGTGTTCAGGGGCTGCCGAGCAGCGTGAGCTGGCTGGGACTGCTTTGTGTACCAGGGGTGGGACCTTTATAACCATTGCCTCTTGTATCTCTGATGTCCTGCCCTGTGTGCAGAAAAGTTGCACCATCACTTGTTAGATGAGCTGGCTGGGACTGGTTTGTGTACCAGGGGTGGGACCTTTATAACCATTGCCTCTTGGATCTCTGATGTCCTGCCCTGTGTGCAGAAAAGTTGCACCATCACTTGTTAGTGGGTCATTGCTGTCTGATGCCCCAGTGCATCCTCCTCCAGTATTAAGAGCAGAGTTGTGAGCTCGGTGTGGTTGCGCACACCTTTAATCCCAGCACTTGGAGGCAGAGGCAGGTGGATCTCTCTGAGTTCAAGGCCAGCCTGGTCTACAAAGTGAGTTCCGGGACAGCTGGGTCTACAGAGAGACCCTGTCTCAAAAAGACCAAACAAAAAAACCGAAGAGCACCGTTGCAAGGACTGTGGTAGAGCACTTCCTGGCACACACAGGGCCTGGGGATCCAACCCTAGTGTAGCAAATCCAAAAGGCAAGCAGGGTTCAAACCTCTGAGCAGACTGCACACCCTTGGTGTCCCTCGATACATGTGCCTGGGGGATGGGAGGGCACAGTCGGGTGGGGCTTGCCTGCCTTTAGAATCTAGGGAGAGAGATGGCCCGGGAAAGAGAAAGAACTCCCACCCCGTCACAGCTGGGTCACTCAACGGAAATTGTCGGAAGTTGGGACCTGACCGTGGGGTCCCTGGAACTGTCTTTGCCCGGCACCTCCCGCCCCTCAAATCAGGAAGTGACTCTGAACAAGTCTCTGACTCCACGTCTGTATGATGGAGAGGGAGACTGGCCTTCACGTGTCGAGCATGGTGGAAACCCAGAATTCAGGCCAGAGTGTTCAGTTCCTTTTCCTGCCTCCCTGGGCAGAGACGACCCAGACCTGCTCTGTGTAATTTTCAGCAGTGGAGGCTTCCTTTGGGCCAGGGCCATGGAAACGTGTCGGCTGGCACCCAGAAGAGCCTCGTTATGGGCATCCCAGCTAAGCCCTGGTTCAGCCAATCCAGTGGCAGGGAGTACAGGGTGAGTGTGCAGGGCCTGCTGAGCCCCCGGCCTCTGACCTTCAACTCCAGTGGCTTTGGCTGAGTTTAGGACAGGAACTCTTTCCCCTATAGAGGTTTTTTGTTGTTGTTGTAAATTTTAAAAAAATTGATATTTATTTTGGGAGCTGGAGAGATGGCTCAGAGGTTAAGAACACTGGCTGTTCTTGCAGAAGACCCGGGTTCGGATCCCAGCACCCACATGGCAGCTAACAGCCGTCTGTAACTCCAGTTCCAGGGGATCTGACAGCCTCTTCTGTCCTTGGGGGCATTGCATGACACGGGGCACTGACCTACATACAAGCAATACACGCATACACATAAAATAAAAATAAATTATATTTATGTGTATGAGTGTTATGCCTGCATGTGTGTAAGTGCACCTGTGTCGTGCAGTGCCCCCAAGGACAGAAGAGGCTGTCGGATCCCCTGGAACTGGAGTTTCAGATGGTTGTTAGCCGCCATGTGGGTGCTGGGATTCAAAAGTGGGTCTTCTAAAAGAGTACCCAGTGCTCTTAACTGATAAGCCATCTCTCCAGCCCAGTCCTATAGGCTGTTTATAACTAATTACTAGGAATTCTCATCAAACACCTACTGTGTGCCAGATGTGCACAGTAGTGGCAGGCCTCCTAAGAGTCATCCTTCCCAAGAGATGTCTCAGTCCATGGGGAAGTGATTGATATAATGCAGCATTCACTTAGCTCTCTTTCCACTACTGTGATGAAATACCTGAGATCATCAATATATAAAGAAGAAAGGTTTCTTTCCATTTATGGCTTCAGAGGTTTCAGTCCATGGTGGGATGGCTTTTGGGCCTGTGGCCACATCATGGTGGGGGCCAGGAAGCAAAGAGAGGGGAGAGGAAGAAACACCATCTCCTTCAAGGACTCACTCCCAAGGACCTAAGGCCCTTGCACCAGGCCCCATCTCCTGAAGGATCCATCCCCTCCAACAGCACCTCAGGCAGGGGGCCAAGCTGTTAGCAGGGCTTTGGAGGAAGGACATTCCAAATAAAAGCAGGGCAGCTCTGGAGAGGGCTCTCTTGCAGTCAGTCCCCTGGGGACCCAGCTGTGTCCAGTGGGAACGTGGGTGACAATGGAGCCGCCAGGCTTCTGTGACTCTGGCAGCTGGCGCTTGGGGGATCTCTCCTGGACAGTGATGCTCAGCCCAGGTAGGCCTAGGCACAGTGTCTCTGTCCCCACAGGTGGCCTGTGAGAAAACCGTGTCTGCCATGTATCATGTGCTGCAGAGGACCATCCGGTGTGCACAAGGTACTGTCAGCCTGCTCTGTGCTCTGCCTTGTAGAGAGGTGGGGGGAGGGAGGGAGGAGAGAGTTCCCCTGCAGCTCCTGCATCCTGCTGCCTGTTAGAAGTGAGGCAGCAGGTGGGGGCGGGTTATGCCCCTTTGGAAACAGCGGAAGTGGGAAGCAATTGGATGTGGAAAGTGACCACTGTGGGGAGGGGCCTGGGCAAAGGCAGGGGAAGGAGGCCCCACTTTGTGTCCACCTGCTCTGATCCTCCACGTCTTCTGCAGCCCAGGCTGGGGAAGGACGGAAGCCCAGCCCAGCCCAGCTGGAGCTGAGGATGGTCCAGAGCAAGAAGGACATAGAGGACCCAGAGATCGTCGTGCAGGCCACGGTGCTGTGAGGGCCACACACTCCCACCCCTGACGCACAGCACGCTGGTGTCTCTGTTTTCGTCCCTGTGAAAAGCTGTAACGTCTGCCTTAGAGCCATGATCGAAACTTGACATTTTGTTCTTTCATGAGTGTCGGGTATCGGCCGATCTCAATCGTGAAAATGTGCCATTGTGCTTTTTAAAGTCACAAAGCCGTCACAGAAATGTGTTATTCGAAAGCCAGGTGCCCTCCCCCTGAGGCTCCAGGTCTCCTGACCGCCCCCACATCCGCCTGCTCAGGGGTGTCCTGTGTGGGTACATGGCGAGTGGGTGGGGGAACAGGTCCTGTTGCCTGTGGACTCTCCATTGGACCGCTGGCCGCCATTGCCCCCAGATCCCTGACCCTGTGTGGGTTGGGCCTGCAGCAGCATTGTATCTCTGAGGTTGGGTCGGGTCTTAATGTTGGCATCTGGCAGAATTATGCCAGATATCTTCGTGGCCATTCTGGTCTAACCCTCTGTTCCTTTCATTAGTTTCTGTATCTTACTTTGCTGCTCTTTGGGTCTCCGGGGATGCCGGATTTTAGATGACTGTTGAACTGTGGGAAGGTTTCTTAGCCTTGTGCTTCCCCATGCTTGGTGTGCACACAAGCGTGTAGTCACTGTGACGGGGACCTTTCCAGGGCCCAGAAAGTTCCAGGGCTTCTACAAGCCTCTTGGGTGTCAGCAGGCCCTCTTGTAACTTGGGAACAACTACTGAGAATCTGACCAGATGGGGGCGCTGCTGGGCCCAGGACAGCTTGGAAACTTCAGAGAAGGTTGCTGCATTGGGCTCCTGGGTGGAACCCAGCCCACAGACAGACAGGGACAGAGGGGCAGGGGTGCTGCCTGTTTCCCAGTGGCATATTGGTTCTGTATTCAGTGCCCACCACTCGCTGAGGGGCAAGAGGGCCTTGGTGAAGCCAGCTAGCTCCATCCCGCCCTCCCTGCCCCCAGAAGTTGTACTTCTATAGGGAGCTCTTGGTACTATGGGGCAGGGCAGTCCTCAGGCCCCTGCAGTAGATTGTGGCATGTCCACTGCTCAGGGGTGACCTCTGTGTCTCCACTGTGTCTCCACTGTGCTTAATAGTTTGGGGTCCCTAAAGCATGTCTGTGACTGGGATGGCCCATCTTTGACCTTGATCCCAGAACCTGCTTCAATTTCTCTGTACCTCAGGTCAATGTAGATTTACCTCTCCTGGGAACCACAGGCAGAGGAGAAATGGAGAGACTGGAGCAGGTGGGAAGCACACTGTGGCCCCCAGGAGAGCAGGTTCTCCAGGGGTGCCTGGCTCCAAGCCCCATACATCTAAATACGGTTCCAGTGTCTCCCCTTCCAGAGCATATTCAACCTGTTAAAACGCCCAGGACAGAGACGCTAGTCCACATGGGATCAGTGCTGGTCCACCTCCATTCCCCCACCCAGCTCACATTCTGAGCCTCTTGTTAATCACAAGCAGGACAAAAGGCCCTGCAGGCAAAGGCACTGCCGCCAAGCCTGACAACCTGAGTCCAATCCCCAGGGCCCACATGATGGAAGGAGAGAACCAGCTTCCAAAAATTGTCCTCTGACCCCCCTCACATGCGGCATCTGTGTTTCTGCCACACCCCTCCCACTAAATAAATAAATGTAATTTTTAAAACTAGTTGCCAGGCATGGTGTTGCACACCGTTAATCCTAGTCTTTGGGAGGCAGAGGCAGTCTGGTCTACATAGTGAGTTCCAGGCCAGCTGGAGCTACAAGGAGACCTTGTCTCAAAAAACAAATAAAAAATAAAACTAACCTGTTGATCGGTACTCCTTGGCCCAAGCTGGCTGGCTCTCTGGCATGTAAGGAATTTCCTTGACTCAATGGCAGGCCTCCAAACCAAGGGCCTTGAGGACCAGGAGGTAGAAGGCCACAGTTAGCAGCCTGGCAGGCAGGGCCTGAGCTGTGCTAGGGCCTTTCACAGTGAAACCCCATCACTGCCACATAGAGATCAGGAAACACCACCTTGCCAGCAAGGAGGAGAGCCTCCTTTTCTTCTCTTTTAAGATGTTAAAAGCAGGCTGGAGAGATGGCTCAGTTGGTAAAGTGCTTGCTGTGCAAACAGGACTAGAGTTCAGTTCCCAGCAGCCTTGTAAAGCTGAGTGTGTGAATACCCACCTGTAATCCCAGCCCTGTGGAGGTGGACTTAGGAGGGGTCCCTGAGGCTCACTAGCCAGCAAAAACGGTGAGCTCAAGACATCAGATGTTGACCTCTGGCCTTCACACATATGCACACATACGAATATGTACACATGCCTACACCACACATGCACAAAAAAATGTTGAGAGCAGGCAGAGGGTTGGAGAAAGCCTGTGTGAGTCTACTGAGATCTGTCCCCTGGCAGAGCAGTGCTGGGTGTGGTGCTTCTGGGAGAGCAGGGGACCTTCAGGACCCAGGATGACTCCTGTCAGCACAGCCGGCAGATGATTAGCTCTGGCTGTAGCCGGGAGCTAATGGGGGTGGGGAGAACTCTTACTTGCTTACGTTGCAGGATGCATGCCCTGCCACAAGTACTCCCTCTAAATTTCTGAACTCAGGCGTATCTGAAAATTTCCCTCCTGTCTGTGTCTATGGGGCCCAGAGGACAGTGAGCTCAGACACGTGACTAAGCAGAAGGAACTGGGGCTCTGAGCAAACACAGCTTACTGAGCACGCGGCTGTACAGAAACACCTGGGAGGACAGGGTCGGGGTCTGAATGGGACCTGCCGAGCGGAACTCTGCTCTGCCACTCCCACAGGGACGGATGTCTCCTGACCCAGTAGAGGCCTTGGGGGAGTCGATGCACCCTTCCCATCCAGTGGGGCAGCCTGGGCATCAGTGGTGGTGGTAATAGCTTGGATCCAAATTAGAACTGACTGTTGCTTTCATTTTCCATAGTTTAGTTACACAGTTTATTTTGAAATGAGGCTGCTTTAGCCCAGTGTTGCCTCTTTATCACTAGGGGTACAGCCTTTTAATACTGTCTTAATCCAGCTCTTTAAACCTCCTGGAGAGCTTAAGAGGGACATACAGCATATTCTTTTCAGATCAGTTTTAAATAATTGCTTGGTCCTGTCGTGTGCCTATCTTCTGAAATATGTGTGAGTGTGAAAGTGACGCTTTGTTTCACATCTGTCCTCATGACTTGTGAGAGCCCGTTTTTGAAATGATTTTGCCGTGGGTGGAGCCAGGCTTGGCCTCACTGTGCTGTGTCAGGTATTTTAAGACAGGGGGCTAAAGGTTCCTGGTATGACATCACCACCACCACCTGGGATAAGAGAATGATGCCATGTTACAGAGCTCAGTCCCTTCCCTTCTGCATTGCTGAGGAAGGAAGGCAAGTCCCTCCGAAGCGGAGACTGCTGTGGTCTTGGGAAGGAGGCAGGTTGGCCAGTGCAGCTCGGAGCCCTTTGTCTTGCTCCTGGACAGCTCCTGACCCCCGTGCCCAGCTCCGATTGCTTCAGACTTCACTGTCTTCAGTTGAAAAGTGCAGGAAAGAAAGGGAGTGTGTTCTGGCCTTGAGCGCTTCTCCTGGCCTTCCTGCCCTTTGAGGGCCTGCCTGCTTGGGAGCATCGACATTCATATTTACGCTGATCTCCGGTACCCCGTGACCGCAGGCCCGGCAGTGCTGCCCAGCTGCTCCCGCCAGCCCCTTCATGTGCCTTTCCTTATGGGCAAGGCATCTGTGGGTCCCGCATTTGAATAGACAGGCAGGGATATGGGGCTCTGCTGGCTCCCAAATTCCACTTTGCCCTCAGGAGAGTGCAGTTGCTGGGTGCGCCCATCTCTGGCTGCCAGCTGGAGGGGCCTCATGCAGTTACTTGAACTGAGACATCTCAGAAAGCCAGGTCTGTCTGAGGAGCAGTCCAGGTGGACGCTGACCACGGGACCCAACAGTGGGTGATCAGAGGGGTGCCCCAGAGCAAGGTGGCTCTGGAGGTCCAGTTAAGACTGCTGGTTCTGTAGAGTAGGCAGTGAGCTAAGGAAGGCTTGAACTTAGGCCCAGCAGTTCTGAGTGAATATCACTCTGTGATGGAGGAGCGCCCATCCACATGCAGGGTACGGCCTGGTGTGCATGTGCAAATCCTGTATGATCTTTGTTCTTCCTCTGGCAGATGCAGATGCTGGAAGATCTATTGGGTTGGTTTTCAGCATGTAAATCTTACTGTTAGAATCCGAATTTTGGGTCTGTGCAAACCTCACGGTGTGTGGGAGAGGTCAGTGTCCCTAACTTTGCATGACAGCCCTGGTAGCCGCTGTTTGAAGTTCACAGTTGCTGAAGTTAGGTGCATTTTATAGTCTGTGTGTGTCTCCCATTGACTCTGGTTTATTCTCTTTATTTTATTTTATTTTATTTTATTTTATTTTATTTTATTTTATTTTATTTTATGTGTGTACATGTATTGCCTGAATGTAGGTAAGTGCACCCATGTCATGTAATACTTGCGGAGGTCAGAAGAGGCTGTCAGATCCCCTGGGACTGGAGGACGTTATGTGTATGCGTGTACTGCCTGCATGTAGGTAAGCGCACCCATGCTCTGCAATGCCCGAGGAGGACAGAAGAGGCCATCGGATCCCCTGGAGCTGGAGTTACGGACAGTTGTTAGCTGCCATGTGGGTGCTGGGATTCGAACCTGGGTCTTCTGCAAGAACAGTCAGTGTTCTTAACCGCTGAGCCATCTCTCCGGCCCAACTCTGATTATTCTTGATGCAGACATTTCCTGTTTTAAATATGCCAAGATTAATTAAAATAACGTCTTATATTCCGTACTCTGCCTTCACTGCAACCCCGTATATTTATTTGCTCCCAGAATAATATGAACTCTAACAGTGTTTTAAATTTTTACATTCGTAGACAATTGCCAGGCATGGTGGTGCACACATGCAGTTCAATACTCTAGAGGCTGAGGCAGGAGGATAGCAAGCTTGAGGTCACACGGAACTGTGGAACAAGACTGTGTCCCTAAAACACGTGTGCGCTCTCAAACACACACACACACACACACACACACACACACACACACACACACCAACAAAAAAATTATTCCTGGAGGATTTTTTAAATTCTTATTTATGGCAGGCTAAAAAGATGCTTTAAAGGTTTCCTTGCTGTCTGAACCAAGCAGGAGCATGTCCTCTAGTAGGAGGCTCCCTCTCCCATGTCTTACTGCCCTGCCTGGGGCTCAGTCCTGAGGAACCCCCACTTCAGGATGGTGATGGTGAACCATGCTCCTAAATACTGGCCTCTCCTTTTCCTTCCCGCAGCTTATTGTGGGGCAGTTTCTGGTCTTTCTGCAGCAGAACGCCCATTTCAGGCAGAAAAGTCCCTCCTGTGGCCAGGGGCCCCTCAGCCTAGCCAGGTTAGAGCTGAATAGCAAGCCCGGACTGCCTCTGCCCTGCAGCTTTAGGTGGGTGGGAACAGAAGAGAGAGCCTGCCACTCAGACCTCCATGCTTGGGAGCTCCCCCAAAGCCGTAGCCATGTCCATCTGCCTATAGAGCCAGCAGCCCCCACAAAGGCAGGCTGAGATGTTGGGTAATATATGGCCACACCTCACTACCTGTCCCCGCAGTCATTTAGTCCCAGTGAAGACAGGCCGAGGTGTCTTGATCCTTTTTCTGACCAGAGCTGGTAGCTTTGGAAACCTCTGGAGCTATATTCCCACTGGGGACCTGGTGCCTGACAGGAAGAAGGAATGACGGGGCACAATAGAGAGCCCAGAGGCTTGGCAAACCCTTTGAGCATCCCACAGAGCTGGAAAGCGGAAACAAAACTCCCTCAAAGTTCAGGCTGGGCACATTCCCACAAAACATCTAAAACTTCCAGATGATGGAGCGGGGGTGAATTCTTCGCTTACGTAGCCCTTGAAGGATGAGATGTGGGTGACGTCATGAATGCTCTTAGCTTCATAGCTGCCTAAATTCCCAGGATTTTACCCTTGTGCTGTAAATTTGGACCAATTGGGAGAGGGGCGCTCCCACGGGGGTCACCAACCCTGCTCATCTTTCCCAGAGATGAGCACAGTCTTTTGGAGGCTCCTGGCCTTCGGAACAAAGCACAGGGGGCCCGCAGCCCCTGCTGCGCAGGAGGGACGTACTCTGGGCTCAAGTGGTCCTTAGCCTGAGTCTCCCAGCCCTGCTGTCCCCTGTCAGTGTGTTCATAGATGTATCTGTCAGCGCTGTGTAGCTGTGTCTGTTTTGTGCTGGTTTGTTGATATCTATGATTATCCACAAATAAATATTTTCAATGCAGTTTTGTCAGTGTGATCATTTCCCCGGTAGGTAGAACTCCATTTATTACCCGTGTGCTCCTCAGCCTGCCCAGCATGGTTACCGTTGCAAATGGGGAGTGACTGATTACCTAAAGAATACTCTTCACAGGAAAAGGTGAGCCTTGTCTCACCTACGGTGGCCCACATGCCCTCGTCCTTCACTCTGTCCTCCTTGGGGGCTGTCTAGTGTTTGAGGGGCAGCCCTGGGGTGGGGGCTTGGAGATGGAAGAGCTTCCCAGCCTCCCCTTGCCAGGTGCTGAGGACCAGTCATTGGCCATAGCATCCCTGGTACCACCTGGCTCCATGCAGCAGTGACATGGAATGCGACTAGCCTGGCAGTACCAGGATCCCATGACTTGTCCATGTCCTTGTGTGTAAAGCCTCAGAGGCAATCCAGCAAGTGGGCCTGAATGAAGGCAGGGCTGGGAGAGGAGATCCCCATCACCAGAAAGACCCTAATGTGAGGACTGTGCAGGAGAGGGGCAGGGACTGGGCAGAGCACTGTGGCCTCTTAATGCAGTCTATTCTGTGCCCACAGATGACAGCCACTTCCAGGTTCCTATGCTGCTGGATACACCAGTCTGCTCCCCTGCTCACTGCCACCCAGAGCCATGATGCTGGTGATGAGTGTCCTGCGACTGCCTCACCGATGTCCAACAACAGATACATCTGTTCATTTACAGTTCCAGAGGCCAGAGGCCTACAAGTTGGGTGTCGGAGCTGGCTCCTTCTGGAGGTCTTGCCACATCTTGAAGTCATAGAATCATTGGCTCTTGGCCCTTTCTCCATCTTTAAAGTCAAAAGTAGCATTTTTTCACCTCTTAAAACTCAGGCCCTCCTGCCTCCTCCTCATAAGAACCGTGGACACTGGGCCTCTCAGATACCCCGGGATTGCCTCCCTCTTGTGACCTTCAATTAATCCCATCAGCAGAGCCTCTTTGCCACCCAGGTTCCGGGAAGAGATGTGGGCATCTTTGGAGGCCATGACTCAGCCAGCAGGCCACATCCTGAGGCAAGCATGGGGTAGGGTAGAGTCCCGACTGGGTTACCTTTCTGCTTCCAAGGATCTGATCCAGACATCCCACTGAGACTCTTACTCATCTCAAGGACACCCTAGACCTCCCCTGATATAGAGGGGAAGGTTGACTTCAAGTACATGTGGCTCGGGGTTTCCAAGTAGATGCTTGGGCCAGAAAGCCAAAGCCAAAGTGTCTAGCCAGTGGTGAGGGAAATGAGGGGCCATCTACACTGCCAGAGCAAGGACAGAAAGGAGAGAGACGGGGAGTAGGAAAAGTAGGCACCCAGGGTTTGTGAGATGTGTTGCTGGGCCTCATGACACTGTCAGCAGGGTCTGGCCATACATCTCCCCTGCATGTCCAGCCCTGTAGGTTTTCACTCCCATGAGTACCTGTCCCAGCTCTTGCTGAGCCCAACACTGACTACCCAGTGTTCCCTTGCCTCCTGATAGGATCTTCCTGGTTCAGCTCTGTATGAGGGCGGGGAGCCTCAAGGCCTGGCCAGTGTCTGCCAGGCCCAACTTTCCTGAAGCCTCTAGGATCATATCCAATAGTGCCTTGCCCTGTCTGGAATTCCACCTACACTGTTGTGAGGAGGCAAGGATTAGGACTGCAGGCTTGGTTGTCTGCCAGTACCCTCCTCCAGCGGCAGGTCCAGGCCCTCAGTCCTGTCCTGCTGTCCCTGAACCATGGTTCTATCCACACATAGGACATCTCCTTGACACATCTACACCCCAGCCAGGGAAGCAGGAGCAGCTGGCACTACATCTTGGTCTCCTTATTGTGATATAACTCACATCATACTGGGTCACCCATTCAAGATGTGCGGTCAGGATCTGGCTATAAAGGTGGGACTGTGCAGAAGGAGTAAGATGAGACCAGGACAGTTGTCCTGCATGCCCAGTGGTGTCCCTGAAACTCAGGATGTCATTCTTTGTTTCTTTGGTGGATTTTTTTTTTTTTTTTTTTTTTGGTCTTTATGAGACAAGGTCTCCCTGTAGCCCCATCTGGCCTGGAACTCACTATGTAGACCAGTTTGGTTTTTTGTTTTTACTTTTTGAGACTTTTTGAGAGAGGCCTGGCACTCACTCTAGAGCAGACTGGCCTCAGTCTCACAGAGATCCGCCTGCCTCTGCCTCCCGAGTGCTGGGATTAAAGGTGTCACTCTTTGTAATAAGATCTTTACAAATATTAGTTGGATGGGAAGGAACTCGTGTGGTACAGTAAACAGCTAAAAACATGTGGCTGGAGAGGTCATAGATCCTAGAGAAAAACCTACATCTGTCACATTCCTACACAAATACAATTTCTTACTGTATGCTAAATATGGATCCTTATATTTACGGACAAGTGTAGCTCTCACCACTCATCAAAGAAAGCTTCTTTTTGCAGCAGATGGAGATTATTACAGAGTTCTACACTGGTCAAACACAGAGATTAAGTGTCTGTGAGCTGCCCAGCCCTGTGACACATCTACAATGCGACCTCTACACCTAAGGCTCACGGGACATAGGGGACAAGGGGCAGGGAGAAAACTAGTGCATCCTCAACTCTCACCAGCAAAGCCTCCTCATTTAACAGAAGGTGATTAACACAGAAGGCTACAACGGGCCAAAATGTAGAGAATAAGAGGCTGCAGAGTGCAGTCCCTGCATAGGACTCATATTAAACCTCTGCCACCCAGGCTGAGGGAGCATTGCAGAAGAGGGGCAGAAAGACTGTAAGAGCCAGGGCTGGTGGACGACCACAAGGAAACAGTTTTCCAGGCTTCCGGGAACACGCTCGTATGAACTTACAGCAGTGGTGACAGCGTGCACACGACTCAAACCAGACAAAAACCCAGCGCAGAAGTGGGGAAATGGGTTAGAAGTCCCGACCTTCGTTGAAGAAGTGTTGGCAGCTGGTCACTGCCGGGTGAGGGAGAGTTAGTCTTTAAGAGAGTGATGCTAGACAGGCTGACCAGGCAGCTGATCACTACTGGATGAGAGGGAGGTGGTCTTCTTTAAGAGAGTGATGCTAGACAGGCTGACCAGGCAGCTGATCACTACTGGGTGAGGGAGAGTTCGTCTTTAAGAGAGTGATGCTAGACAGGCTGACCAGGCTCCAGTGAATGGACTCACACTGACGGATGTTTGGGGACACAAATTTGACTCAATAAGCCTTAACATATATGACAGAATGCTTGGGATCTGGTGGGGGGTATCTAGGGTCTAAATATGATCAAGATGTAGGAAATGCACAAAAATTAAATAAATTTTCTTTTTGGTCTTTTTGAGACAGGGTCTCCCTGTAGCCCCAGCTGTCCTGGAACTCACTATGTAGACCAGGCTGGCCTTGAACTCACAGAGATCCACCTGCCTCTGCCTCCCCAGTGTGCCACCACATCCAGCCCTTTTTTAATGTTTTTCTTTTTGAGACCAGGTCTGGGATAAAGGCTCCTGAGACTGTCCATCTGTGGTCTACCCATGGTTCTTTGGCATGAAAGCCAGTAAGACAGGCTGTCTGTGGCCCCACCAGCCCCTCAGCATAAAGACACTCAGCTTGGGGAAAAAAGGGAGCTGAGAAACAGGGACGGCTGTGAGCTTTGCCTAACCAGACAAGCAAGGGCGAGCTGTGCTTGGGGAGTCTGGGCACTGGGCTGTGTCCCTGCCTCACAGGGGCAGAAACGGAGTTAACACCGCTTCCAGGCAGCATTAAGCGCCTAAGTGTGCTGGTAGTGGAGCCGTTCCATCCTCCAGGTCTGCGATTTTGTCCCTTGCACAACATAGATCCAGTTAATTAGTGTGGTATTATCACTTGCCTAAGGAGAATCTAACCTCATCCAATCGGCTGCTCCTAACAGCAGACATGGCAGGAGGGTGTGGTGGCACCACCTGGCTTCTCTCCCAGCTGCTAAGCACATCATTAGCATCTCTGGATGCCTCACCAGGACTCTGGGATACACTTTAGCCTGTCCGGCACACAGCCACCCTGCTCAGCCAGAGTGGGAGCATGGGGTGCTCACTGAGACTCTGGATGCTTGAGGGCTGATGACAAATGCTCTGAGGCTGTTATGGTAGGGTACCCCTCTTTATGGTAGGGCACCCCCTCTTTATGGTAGGGTACCCCCTCTTTAGCACATTCTCAGTGTGCCAACCTCTCAGGTCCAGTGGATTTACTCAAAATCTTTTATGTTGGGAGACTGAGGCTTGGGGACAGAGCCTGGAGCTCAGGGGACAACCTATGGTGAGCACTAAGATGCTAAGGTGGGTGCCTGGTGTGAACCCCGACTCTCCCACCTAGCTGCTGTGGTTTGAGAGACTCTGGTCACTCCAGTACCTTGGAGCAGAAAGACCTGCTCAGAATAGCTCAAGCCCTGCCTCTCGTAAGGTGTCCCACCAGCTGGGTAACATTGGTCTTGAATTAACTTTGGGTTTTTGCAATGCTGGGGATCGAACATGCTAGGCCAGCACTCCACTGCTGAGCCACACCCTTGCCCTTTACCAGTTTATAAATGGTAAAAGTGCTTGCTGCTAAGCCTGATGACCTGAGTTCAATCCCAGGGACCCACATGGTAGTAGAAGAGAACCAACTCCACCAGGTTGTTCTTGACCTCCACATGCGCACTGTGGCATGTATGCCCTCACATACATGCACATACACACAGATGAATGTTTAAAAATTAAAATTTTAGGGGCTGGAGAGATGGCTCAATGGTTAAGAGCACTGGCTGCTCTTGCAGAGGACCCAGGTTCAATTCCCAGCACCCACATGGCAGCTAACAACCATCCATAACTCCAGTTCCAGGGGATCTGACAGCCTTTTCTGACCTTTGCATGCATTGCATGACACAGGTGCACTTACATATATGCAGGCAATACATATGAATATTTAATTAAAAATGTTTTTTAATTAAAATTTTAAAATAAAAAATGAAATAACCTGCCCCTTCTTAGCAAATCTACATTGTGATTTCTGATAAAGGGAAAACTTCAAAATGAAAGAGACAATTTGTATAGACTCTCAAAACATATATTTAGAGATAGATCATATATAGCATTCTGAAAATGACTGGAAGGGAAAAAAACCCCACAATAGTTTGGAAGCTGCGGAACCCTACCCCCTCCATTACAGAGGCACCACAGAGGGGTCTGTACGTCATGGTCCCAAACACAGACTGAAACAATGAAGTATTTGGCACAGGGACTGAGAAATTAGAAGTAGGTCAGTTCATCGTGTTTCTCCTTGTTGGTCTGGTAGGCAGCCAAGGTCAAGGGCTTGTTTTCATGAGGGAGAGCCTCAAACACCCTCAAGTGCACAAATTTATCATCACCAACGTCAACCTGGAGATAGAAAGGGAGGCCAGTGAGAACTGGTGGTCTCAGTCCCCAGGCTCAATTGAGCCTCAGAGTAGCTGAGCTAGTGTAGATTACCAGGCACAGGGCTAGTGACAAGTCCTGTCTCCTCCATTAAGGGCAGGGACCCTGGAACCCCACACTCATTCTCTCAGAAGCCTTAGGTGCCCTCCTAAGAGGTGACACACTCACCCGTGCACATGGCACACTGCTCCTCAGGAGGGGGGCAGGTGCAGGCCCCTGTGCACTCTGAGACTGTGCCCCAGTCTTTCCCAAGCCACGACTTAGCACCCACCTTGATGAAGTAGTTGGTGCCAGCCACCACCTGGCTCTTGAAGGACACAGCTTTAAAGACGGTGAACTTCTGGTTTTCTTTCTCTTCAAGCTGGTGCTTTACCTGCCAGGTGGACGGGAAAGGAAGCACTTAGCCTCGGCAGCAGGTGCCTCCCTGTCTGCTGGCCTCGACACCACTGCCCTCACAGCTGGGGACATGAAGCTGTTGGCTTTAGTGATAAAAAGTAGAACACGGGCCAGGCGTGGTGGCACACGCTTTTAATCCCAGCACTCGGGCGGCAGAGGCAGGCAGATCTCTGTGAGTTCAAGGCCAGCCTGGTCTACATAGTGAGTTCCAGGACAGCTGGGGCTACAGGGAGGCCCTGTCTCAAAAAGAAAAAAAAAAAAAAAAAAGTAGAACACGGGATGGAGAGGCGGCTCAGTGGTTAGGAGCAGATACTGTGGTCTTGACTTTGGTTCTCAGCACTCACGTTAGGCAGCCTACAACCGCAGGGAACACCAGCTCCAGGGGATCCAGCGCCTCCAGCCTCTGGACAGCTGCGCTCAGCTGAGGGCACCTGACCCCTCACGCACATATACCTACACACTTACGCATACAATTTTAAAATAGTAAAAATCTTTGTTTGTGAGAAAGGGCCTGCCTGTAACCCTAGCTACAGGGCCTGGAACTCACTATGTGAACCAAGTTGGCCTCAATTGCACAGAGATCCACCTGCCTCTGCCTCCCAAGTGCTGGCTTCTTTTTATTTTTTTATTTTATTTATTTATTTACTTTATTATTTTTATTTTATGTGTATGAGTGTTATGTCTGCATGTAGGTAAGTGCACCCGTGTCATGTAATGCCGGAGGACAGTAGAGGCCGTTGGATCCCCTGTGACTGGAGTTACGGACAGTTGTTAGCTGCCATGTGGGTGCTGGGAATTGAACCCGGGTCTTCTGCAAGAACAATCAGTGTTCTTAACCACTGAGCCATCTCTCCAGCCCCTATTATTACCGTTATTTTTTTTATGATTATGTGGGCATGTGTGTATCTGTTTGTGGGTAAGGTATGTATACCATGTGGGTGCAGGTACCCATGGAATTCAGGAGAGGATCCCCTGGAGCTGGAATTACAGGTAGTTGTGAGCCACCTGATGAGGGTGCTGGGAACTGAACTCGGGTCCTCTACAGGAGCAGTAAGCACTCTTAATTGCTGAGCCACCTCTCCAGCCCACCCACCCCGATCCCATGGTTCATTTTTCATTTTACCCAGGTCCAGTGACAAGAGCGTACATCTGCTCAGGCTGAGTAAGAACTTACGACAGGGACTGCTCACCCTGGCAGGGGAGGGAAAGGAGCAATTCCTCATTTTTAGGGTCTCGTGGGACTGACTCACTCCTCCCTGGCCACTGCAGTTAAGGCACAAACCTCCCAAGGCACCCAACCTGGGACACGCCTGGGGTGGGGTGTCGGGAGAGAAGTTCACCTTTCCTTCTTCTAGCTCAAGACTTTGAACTTCCCTAACTTGTACAGAATCTGCTTTGCTAACAAATACTCGCCCCCCCACACCCCCAATTCACAAACCAACTCCAGAGCACTCACAGCCCCTCCCCACCAGATCTAGCACCTTGCTGCTGATGGAGAGATCGAGACACCAGCAGGTTCTGCCCCTAGCTTTGATGTGGGATGGAATCTCCCACTGTAGACCAGGCTGGCCTCCATCGAGCCTCTTGTTTCACCTGGGCTGGAATTAGAGGACGTGCCTCCTGACGGGGCTAGCCTGGGTTTTACTCCCGGGCTCTAGCCCTGGGAGCTGTGAAGGGCTGGAATTAGAGGACGTGCCTCCTGACGGGGCTAGCCTGGGTTTTACTCCCGGGCTCTAGCCCTGGGAGCTGCGAAGCTCTCTGCCTTTCCTGAACTATTGGGGGCAATCAAGTCCCTCCACCGAACCCAGTGCATATTCCTCAAGACCCAGGTGGTCCTCTAAGCAGCGGCGGACACAGCCCAGACCCTGGGACCCCGAGTCCTCCAGGCAGGACCCCGAGCCCCAGCCACGTGTGCAGCCATGCTCGGAACCCTGCAGGGAGGTTGGGGTGCAGGACCCGGGCTGGGGTGCAGGGCGGTTGGGCTGGGTGCGGGGCCCGGGCTGGGCGCGGTGCTGTCGTCCCCGGGTCCCCTGGTCAGGCAGGCCTGGCCCGGACCGCGGCCTCACCTGGTCGGCGATCTTCTGGGTCTCGGCGGTGGCCGGCTGCAAGGCGGATGGCCCTCCACACATCATCGTGGCGGCAGTGGAACCGGCAGAGCAGGTGGAGAGATTCGGGAGAACAGCGGGGAAACTGGGAACCCCCAGACCCGCCTCCTAGAAGAACCCAGCTCGGCCCCGCCCCGAGCCACGTGACACGGCACCACGTGATTTCAGGGACACCGTTCCCCCCGCCCCCGCTCTCGTCACCCTCCGAGTCACGAGGACCCAGCGGGTGTGGCTGCAGGGTGCGGTCCCCGAGCCTCTTCCCGCCAGGGGCGCTAGGCGGAGGCGAGGCCCTGGGGCGCTAAGCGGGGGCCGGGCCCTGGAATCCCAATTGCACACTGAGCACCGAGGGCAGGGCACAGGGGAGAGTCCCATCCCTTCAACGGATATGGACTAGGTGAACCCTAAGACCGAGCCTTGGTGACTGAGTTGCCCCCTGTCAATGTGGACATGAAGTGGGGCGCCTGGGTGGGTCCCCATCCCTCCTTCCTTTGGGTGGGCATGAGACGGGGACATGGATGGGGACCTAGGAGTCCCGATTCCCGGGTAGTGGACTGGGGGGGCAGTCAGTTCTGGAAGAGCTTGGGGGGAGGGGCGGGCCGTCCAGGTAACGTCTCATGCAGTGGGAATTTACTGTAGTCCCCCATGGTCTGGTGTGGGGAATCTCATTCTTCCAGAATGAATGGACATAGGTTTGTAGGGCTGTAGGACTTGGGGATGCTAGCCCTGCCATTGGGCACAGGGTAGGGTGGTCCAGACCTCATTCTCCTGTGCCCAGCGCGGACTAGGGACGGTGAGGGGCCACTGATGGAGGAGCTTGAAAATTACCTATGGAGAGAGAAGACACCACCACCACCACCCAGACTAGGAGGGGAGTGGGGAAGTGGAGGTAGTCCGCTTGGTCAGGAGCGGCTCTTAATCCACGTCTTCCATGTCCAGGCTGTGCCCACTGGCTGGTGTGGGTCACAGCTGACAAACACCAGGAGCGTGTGACCTGGGACACCAGGAATGACTGAAGTATGCTAGGGGAGGGGGAGGGGTGTGGCAGGCTGGAGTTGGTCCAGGTCGAGTTAGGGGAATTGGAGAAGAGCTTGGTTTGATGGGGTTTGGGTTTAGGATTCAGAGTGAATCATCCAGGAGGGAAGCAAAGGACACCTGTCTATCTGGGTCAGAAGTGGCTCCTGGGTGTTGCTTGGACCAACCTTTCTGGAAGATGCAGCTTTTTCCAGCCCCAGGACTGCCTCCTTAGAACCCAGTGTCCCCATCTGAACCCCCTGCTTTTGATTCTGGCCCCAGCAGGAGCATCCTCTGTGGTGGGAGCTGAACTGGGGGACAGCTGGGGAGAGACTATGGTGATTGAGTAAGGTAGATTCACCTCTGTGAAAATGGAGAGTGCCCTGAGCACAGTGTCAGGGAGGGAGGGAAGGAGAGAGGAGGGAGGGAGAGAGGGAGAGGGAGGGAGGGAGAGAGGGAGAGGGAGAGAGGGAGGGAGGGAGAGAGGGAGAGGGAGAGAGGGAGGGAGGGAGAGAGGGAGAGGGAGAGAGGGAGGGAGGGAGAGAGGGAGAGGGAGAGAGGGAGGGAGGGAGAGAGGGAGGGAGGGAGGGAGGGAGAGAGAAACGAGCTGCTTTCCTCTGCTGCAGCTCATCTATTTCACAGATAGTTTGGCCCATCCCGAGACATCCCTGTGCCTGACTTTGCTGGAGCTGGGTTCCCATGACCTCACTGTACAGTACTAGGGTCACAGATATGGCAGTTAACAAAGACCACCCAATGAAGAAAGTGCCCCATCCCTGCTGGCAGAGATAAACCTAGGGACCTAGGGAGTCTGGTGCACCCTGGGAGGGGTGTCAGTAGTCCCAGGGATTGACTTGAGGATGGCGGTTCACAGTTGGCTGTCCCTGTGCAGGAAGTGGGGGCAGCCTTCAGGAAGCAGCTGTTCTTGGCCAGGCCCTGAGAGCACAGAGCTGGTGTGTAGCTTGCTTATTCCCAGAGCGTCACTGAGAGTCATAGCTCACTTGCCATGTGTGGGCTGTCTGATTCCTGCCTGTGTGTCTGCAATCATGACAGGTCCAGTTCCAGCTGCCACCTGATGAAGCCAAAAGCTGAGTGGCCCAGTGACAGGATAGGAGGAGGCCTTTGTTCAGTTCCATCCTTCAGGGGCCCTGGGTGTCTCATTTTGGCACTAGCTGGATGGGCACCCAAGTGGTCATTCATTCTTGTAGTAATTGGTTTCCTCCTGTGGTTTTGATGTTAGCCGTAGGTCACCAGGGTTCCTGGTATTCCGAGGCCCTGCAGCCTCAAGATCAATGCCTGATTAGGAGGGTGAAGGCTGGTGGTGTTCTTTCATGTGTCCAAAGCTACTTGACTGTTACTTATCTGAGGAGTGAGGCATAGCAAAAAGTGATGGGGTCACTAGTGCAAAGTCAAGTATCCCTTGCTTCACATTCAGGTTTGGGCTGCTTTGTGGAGTGGAAGCTGCAGATCCAGCCCTTGTATGCTCTGCGAATCTCACGTATGGCTAATTGCTGAGCCGCTGAGCTTGCCTGTGCAGATAGAACCAATAACCAGCCCCAAAGGTTTTATCCAAAGGACTAAATGAGTCAATAAGTACAAAACAAAACAAAACAAAACAAAACAAAAAACCATGGGACAGTGCTGAAGATTTAGCTCAGTGGAGTGCTTGCCTGTGATGCATGGAGCCTTGGGCTTGATCTCTAAACACTGGAAAAAACAGGGCTGTAATCCCAGCACTCCGGAGAGGCGGGCGGGGGGGGGGGGGAAGGATCAGAGTCAATAAGTACAAAACAAAACAAAACAAAACAAAACAAAAAACCATGGGACAGTGCTGAAGATTTAGCTCAGTGGAGTGCTTGCCTGTGATGCATGGAGCCTTGGGCTTGATCTCTAAACACTGGAAAAAACAGGGCTGTAATCCCAGCACTCCGGAGAGGCGGGCGGGGGGTGGGGGGAAGGATCAGGAGCTCAAGGGCATCCTGAGCTACATACAGAGTTCAAGGCC